AGAGTGCAGACAAGAGAGAGAGAGAGAGAGAGAGAGAGAGAGAGAGAGAGAGAGAGAGAGAGAGAGAGAGAGAGAGAGAGAGAGAGAGAGAGAGACAGGGAAGAAAAGAGGGAGATAGAGAGAAGGAGGAGGAGGGGGAGAGAGGAGATTGAGGGGGAGGGGGGAGAGAGCGAGAAAAGGAGTGTGAAAGAACTAATTGGATCCTAATAGCGATAGTCGAGATCTAATCCTATCCAAAGAGTGAGGTGGGGAAAAGAAGAGAGAGGTGGACTACAGGTTCCTCCAGGGGTTTCAGCAGAGAAGTTCTCGTAGGCAGTAATAAGACTCCATATCCCGTGTGGTCCCAATGAGCATGACGCGGGATGCAAAGGGAAGGCCCGGGAATATAAGCAGACAAAGCAGCCTTGGATCGGAGAGCGGTTCCACAGGATAGGAAGACGGGCAGTAGAAGCAGGCAGGGTGTGGCCGTCCCTAAAAGCTTTTTCGCCGCTTGCCACCTCTCGGCTCATCAGAGGGTTTCGTTAGAACCTGCAATCACAAACTCAACAAGCCCACAACCTTCCAACATATCCAAAACAGGCAAACTGGGCGACTGGGAAGGGACTATACCGCTTCGTCCTCGCTCTGCTCATTCGCAAGGTCGGCGTATAGAAAGTTATCCAAGTCCAGGCCAGCCATAGCAGAATGCAGCACTCTCCGTCCAAGAAAAGCCACTTCTCAAGTACGCAATACAATAGTCACTTGAAAAAATTGATGAGAATGCCCGGGGTACCCAAGGTATTTATTGGAATAGTCGAGGAGGTGGTGGTCTGTATCGAGGAGGGTCGGTGTTCGTGGAAACCGTCGATTTATTAGTACTAATCGTCAGGCAGCGCTGATCCTGATAGCATCGAGGCTTCCCTTAGACGGTACCATTTATTACCCGTAGGATAAGGGAGGGCTTGTCGACGGTCAGCCTATAGGGTTCTTGGTGGAACACCCGGTTAGGTCCTTAATATTCATTCATGAACGTAGGTTCATTAGGGGTAAAACCGTTCATATTAAGGAATTTCCACGAGAGAGTCACCGGAGCACTTCTGCCATATCAGATCCCATAACCAGAACACGATATTACCCACAATCTGTACTTGAAGACTTTTATGATTCTTATCAGGGTCTTACGGGTAGATGGGGGTTCTCAAAAAGCCCCGAGAGTGCCCCCGGTCCTCTCCGTGAGTTGTTTGCTAAGCAGGCTCACTTATGGGGGTAGTGATTGTTTCATCCATTTTGTTATCTGTGCATGTGTGGGTGTGTGTATGTGTGTGTATGCTTGTGTGTGTGTGTGTGTGTGTGTGTGTGCATATGTATAGATTTATACCCCTAGTTATATATGTGTGTGTGTGTATGTGTGTGCTTGCGTGTGTGTGTGTATCTATTCATACCTCCAACTGT